ATGTATGTATGTATGTATGTATGTATGTATGTATGTATGTATGTATGCCTATGCAGCATGGGTGTGTCGAAGTTATAAAACCTGCATACATTTTAAGTGCAGTGGCGTGGGGCTGCAAAAATCGCTGAAGAAAAGGGTAGTTTGTGATGTAATCTCTGCCCCCCGTTCAGTCCTGTTATGCTTTTGGATGTGTTTAAGTGTCGAGGGACACAAGTATTTAATTGTGCAAAAGGCCGATCGACAGAGCAACACGGTGGCCGGTTTTCATGGCATAAAAGTTGACAAAGGCAACAAATAAATCAGGATGCAGGCGATTTCCCAACTCTGATTTTTCCAAATGACCTGTCATGCAGATGTGCTCATTTCACCACATGCCTTGTGCAACCGAGCACTTCCTGCCAACCAGAATCAAACACCTGAGGCTAAACAATCACTGTTGATATGTCAGAGTCCCAGGGAGGGGCGGCATTATAATGCAATCATCTTGCCCTGTTTACACAGGAACCATGAGAGTGACAATACCGAACATTCTGTGCCCCCTCCGGAGAAAAACGCACTGCGGGGAGAATGAGAGGGAAGCCAGACAAAAACCTTGAAAAAAAAAATCCCGGTACAAAAGCAAAGCCCAGCTTAAAAAGGCCGATTATATTTCAGCAAAAGCAAGTGAGGATGGTGGGGTTACATTTGTACACATTGCCCTTTGTGAGTGCGTACAGCCATTGCTTTAGAATCAATGGGGATATTAAAAAAAAAAGCTTTGGTGAATTCCACAGGTAAGCTATCACTCAGAGAAGAACCAGCCCAAACAGGCAGAGCAGGGCTGGGCTTTCCACCCAGAGGCCTTGGTAGTTTTCCCTGTGTTTATGTGGCAGAGCTGGAGTTTGGACTTTCACTGCACCTCACTGAGATACTCTTACCGAAATGCAAAGTGTAAAAGCGTGACTGTATCTGCGTTTGCATCTAAATTAAAGGCAAAAAAAAATGGGGGAAAGTCACCCTCGTTTAACCTCTCCATCTAAATTCCGTGTAACCCACCGTGTTTATACAAAGCGCACACATGCATAAAAGAAACACTGTGCTTCAGGCCAAATGACAAAAAAATTCTCCCCAGGCTTTCAGGCTTCTTGGACTCATAAGTCAACACAAAAAAAAAGATTGAGCCAAGTTCCAGTTGTCATGGAAAGACTGTTTTAATAGAGCACAAAAGAGAACTGGAGGGGAGTGCTGAGTAGAAAAACAAAAGAAAAGATGATAAGGAGATGCATACAAGTTATTCATCCATGATCCGTGATAAAAATGAATTTGGAATCATTTGAATCCTCTTATACCAAAAACAAAAAAAACAAACAAAGATATCATAGCTGCAGGCTGTTGGCAAATACACAACCAGGTTGAAAAGCAACAAATTCACATTTACAGTACCATGCCCTAAAACGGCACACATATGTTGTTAATTAATCATTTTTCATGTACACAATGGTTGCAGCCTCTGCACAGACTAATTTCTTGATCATTTCTTTGTTTTTGGGTTTTTTAGTGTTCTTTGTTACTCTCAGATTCACACAGGTCTCATGCTACATGTAAGACTACAATGTCAGGTGATGATTTGTATTAGTTGGTGCAATTATTTAGCAGCAGAGAGTTCTAGGGTGAAAGAGCAACTCAAATTTGGTGAGGTTTGGTGCGAGGTTTGGCGTGATTAGAATACACTCTCCAATATAAATCTACACTGGCCTTAGAAAGGGACTAAATGCCTTAGTCTGGAAGGCATAGGTCATAAACCTTACCTCCTCACTGCTAACTGATTGGACACGAGCCAAAGAAAAAAGAAAAGAAAAATTCCAACCACAGATATAGCTCCTATTGTTGGCCGAGCCATGGGTAGAAGAAAAATACAATGATAACGAAGCATCTGAAGTGATGTGGAACCTGTGAAAAAGAGGAAGTTCTTTTTTTTTTTCTTTTTACTGGTGGACCTATGTTCCTAGCCTCATCAACGCAGACATAACGTACATCTTTTAACACTGAAATCTGCCGAAATGCGTGATTACTGTATTGATTTTTAGTCATTTATTTGGTACAACCTGAGCGTTGTATGTCACTGTGACTGAAAGCTACTCTGAATAATGAGGGGAAAGTACAGTGGGTGCAAAAGGTAAAATAACATAAGTTTTCATGTTGAGTGCTAACTTTAAAACATCTGATATATAATCAATAAACACAATAATAAACTGATATATAATCAGCTGTCTTTTTAAACCAATGTTGAATGTCTGCAATCAAGCTCAATATCTTTTAGCACTCCATTCAAATCACGGCATTCCTTAAAAGTTTTAATCATTCTTTTTTAAACGGTTTCATTCAAATTTAACTTTGCTCTCCTTAAGTCTTTAATTGACTATTAATATGGAATATAAAAACTCTTTTGTATTAAAGTCTCAGAATAAAGGGCAGAATAATTAATGTTAATTGTAGGGAGGTGCTGCCATTATATGAGATAACATTTCTCTGAACCAAGATTCTTGGTTTCTTTAAACTGATTCTTGGAAACGTTGTGGTGTTTCATGTACTAGTCATCTAAAATATTTACGATCACAGAAATAATTAAATAGGACGTTTGTTGTTGCCAAGTTTATAAAACGGGTTGGGTTTATGTGATGGAGTCGCCATCTAATCATGTGATCATTAGAGCAAGGTTACCACCTTCCAGTGACTGGGTTATAAGTTCTGATAGCTTTTCACCTCCTATCAGTGTATACTCTGTTTATCACAGAGCTGATTGTGCTCACATGCATGCAAAAATAAATAGAATACCTAACTGACTGTATACAGTTCATGTAATTGTGCAAAAATCACTGTAATTTCTAACATAAGCTGCTCCTCTGCTAGCCACTGACTGCCTGATCGAAACAGTTATTAATACAGTAAAATGAATAATTGATGGCCCTAATGCTGCTGCTTACCTATTAAAAATGAGTACATTTTGACATTTCCATGTCTTGATTTTTAAAAAAATAATAATTTTCAGTTGAATGCCTTTTCAGCATGTAACATGCAAAGGACTGAGTTTCTTGCCTGAAATAAAATGTTTC